TCAAGAAAAAGAAATTTTATTTTCTACGCATGCAATTTTTCGAATCGGTGAAATGATCGAAATTGAGAATCGACTATGGCACGTACAACTCATATTGACGACTGATAATGATAAACAACTCGAAGTTATAACAGAATGGATAAGGTAGGAGACTTCCGGACCTTCAGCATGGCACCGTTTGGGTCAATTAATGATCAAACTAGAAAAATTAAATGAAGCTGAAAAGATATATCAAATCCTACTCGATTCGGTTTCTCAGAACGCTGAGGAACATCTTCATTTTCTGTACAACCAGCTCGGATATATCAAGCATAATTACGGCAATAGCGATGAGGCACTTCAGCTTTATCAAAAAGCACTTGAGATTCAAGAAAAGTTGCTTCCCCACAATCATCCATTGTTGGCTACTACCTAGAATAACATAGGTTGTGTGCATACCAGCATGAATGACTATTCCAAAGCACTGTTATTCTGTCAAAAGTCACTTCAAATCTTCGAAGAGGCAATTCCTGATCATTTTTACCTGGCATGGATCTACAACAACATTGGTGAAGTACACTGTGACTTGAAAGACTCTTCCAGCGCACATCCATTCTATCAAAAAGCTTTCAATATCGCAGAAAAAACTCTTCCTCACAATTACCCTAGGCTGGCCATCATCTATGGTAGTCTTGGTGAAATAGCTCAGGACGCAAAAGAATATTTAGATTCATTGTCATGGTACCACAAGGCACTTGAAATCCGAAAAGAAACTTCCTCTCAATCATACCGATTTTGTCGCCAGTTACAGATGTATCGGCGAAGTGCATCATTTAATGGGCGACTATTCGAATGCAGTTAAGTTCTACGAAAAGGCATTAGAGATTCAACAAAAGTCACTGCCCTCAAAGCACTCTAAGTTGTCTGTCACTCACTACTACATTGGTCTCTTGTATGACAAAATGAAAGATTACTCAAATGCACTCTCGTTCTATCAAAAGGGTCTTGAAATCATGCAAAGATCGTGTTCTCCTGATGATCCAGACCTAATTAAATTCTACTATACCAATATTCTCTTGAACCACAAGATAGAAGATAATTCAAGTACACCTCCGTTTTATCAGAAGATCCTTGAAATCCAACAAGAGAGACTTCCTTCCAATCAGTAAGATATGGGTATTGTATACTTCGGCATTGGTAATGTACAATACGATGAGAAGAACTACCAGAGTGCGCTCTTATCTTTCCAACAGACACTCGTATCTCACCAAAATTCGCCTTCTCCTGATTATACTTTTCTAATCGCTATCTATAGAAGCATCGCTGTGTCGTATGAAGCCATGGGAAATTATTTAAACGCACTCTCATTCTATAAAAGTATTCTGGAGCTCAAACAAACAGTTAGTGCTCCTGATACTCCTGAATTGATTTCCATTTATGTCGGTATTGGTACCTTGTATAACAAAATGGAAGAATACTCGAATGCTCTCTCGTTCTATCACAAGGCTCTTGAAATTAAGGCAAAATATCCCAATTACGATGAACTAGACGTACCTTTCATTTCCAATATCATCGGTTCCACATATTGTAAGATGAATGACTATCAGAATGCACTTTTATTCTACCAAAAAACAGTTGAAATCGAACAAAACTGCCTTCATCCATCTCATATTGACTTGGCTACAGCCTACAACAATATCGGAACAATGCACAGTTTCATTGGTAACTACTCAAGCGCCATACAATTTTATCAAAAGGTATTGGAAGTTCAACAAAACTCACTTCCCCCCGATCATCCTGATCTTACTAATACTCGTAACAAAATTATCGCAGTGCGCGAACAGATGGAAAACTAATGACCATCATTCTTACTATTTAAGTTCACTTTGAAGTGAAAAGTTATTCCTCAGTGCGAGATTTAGAACAAGAGCGACCACTACAGGAATAATTGTAACTGTAGCTATATAATAACAGAATAAAGAGTTTATTCATATCATTAATTTTTTTTTGTGGACGTACTGTGACTTTGATATCGATCATTCTCAAAGATCAAAACTTGTAGGAAAATTATCCAGATGGAAGATTTGAATAAAGCAGCAACAGACATAATTACGTTACTCACGAAAAAGAGTTTCATAGGTTTTCATGTTGTATTTTTCCTTTTTTGATTTTTAATAGCATACAATCTCTATTTTAGCGTTTCTAATATTCGCATTTTCTGTCTTGTGTCCTTTCCTACATGGAGAAGTTCAGTTAACTGATCCAGATTAACATAAAATATAAGAGATATAGTGCCTCTTCGTGCATCAATTCGGAATGTGAGTCAGATTACTGATGCTCTTAGCGTTAGCTATTAACAAGCAGATGAGCATTTTATCCAAAAAAAAGACCATAAAAGAATGAATATTTGTTTTTCAAAAGTTTAAATTAAATAGTATGGGCTAGTACTTATATATTATCATTCATTACTGAACATAATGCTTAGCTGCTGTTGATATTAGAATTCAATAATGCCTTGGTCTTGACATTAAATATCTGTCATTACTAGTCTAGTGCGAATATTCGATGTAGATTTTAATTTGTCAATGTACACACTAATAATAATCTTTTGATGAATAATACTTTATGACAAAAATTGATTGTTCATTGATTAAAGTATATTGAATTAAAATTAATTTAAAAAAAGTGTGTGATAAGATATGAACTCTCAAGTATTTTGAAGTGTTTTCAAGGATTTCTAGGCGTTCTCAACAAAGTGAGCTTTAGACCTGCATATTGACCAACAGCTACATTTTTTAGAAGAAAAAAACACTATGAATGTTTACGTTATTAACCTGTCAACAAACGCCCTAGACATTTCTAAGATCATCTATTAATAATGAATTAATTAATTAAGTTTACGTTATTGTTTTAGATAATACAGCAAATGAAGTAAAAGTACTCACAGCAGCAAGAATATGTTTGAATTGTTTATTTTTAAATAGAAGCATAATATAATATTTATTCAAAGATTTATGAGAAATATCGATATCTAGACGCATTTTCTTTAAAAATGAATTGTCATCAAACTTAATCGAAGAATTATTTAGTTCTTTGATAGGTTTCTTTCATCCAACAATTTTGCGATAGGTAGCCATTATTTATTTGATTACGACAATATAATAAAATGCATTGATTGAAATAAAAAAATCTCTGAATGCTAATTTTCATATCTTTATTAATACTTTTTTTTACTGTGTACTCAGAAAGTGAGTACACTAGAATTGGTCAGTGTGTCTCTTAGGGGTGAGTTTAGAAAAAAAAAGATTTTTGTCCTTACCTTTAAGTTCGTTTATTTCATATATATGGAATACGTTCCTCTTTTTATCACACGCACGTATAGATGGAATAACAAAATCGAAATCTAAGCACACACGCATATCACATATATATATATGTATATATATATATATATATCAAAGAGAACGGAAGAGAAGATGAAAGAGAGAAAGAGAAAAAGATAGAAAGATCAAACAGAAAATATATGTGAGGACATCGGTCCGTAAGAGGCGCCCCCCCCACANGACCATTGAGCAGATATTCGACTTCGTCGGCTATTTCTCAAGTCTTCAAGCTAGAGTCCTGCGGGAACGACTTTTTCGGTTCCCGTTTCCCGTTCCCGCAAGAGCGTCATAACTTCTATTAATATTTCATTTTCTCCATCCAAATTTGACAGATACGTTGAAGATCAGAACAACTAGACAAAGACATGAATGTTTTAATATATTGGAATAATAATAAATTAGTTTATCCTGCATTGGCTACAATAGCTCAACATGTACTATGTATTCCGGTAGCTAATACATCTGTAGAACGTCTTTTTTCTGACAGTGGAAATACAATAATAATTCGTCGTACACGTTTGAAAACAAGTAAAGTAAATCAATTATAATNAAAAAAAGCAAAAGATTCAAAAGAAGAAGATGATATTACTATGCTGAAGGATGATCTTGATGATTGCACTTTCGATGATGATAATGTGAAAGAAAATGATGACTATCATAATGTATGATCTAATGAACAATGAATGAATTTGTGTAATATTTGTTGATAGGTATTTGCTATTATTTTTTGTTAATGATATACTTAAATAATTGTTGAAAATAAAAGGCTGTTACATGAATAAATTTTAGTGCATATAGAAATAGGACAAACAGATTTTCGGGAACGGGAATTTTTAGGGTCGTCCCCGTTCCCGATTTCCGCGGGAAAAAGGACGGGAAAAAGCCGTTCCCGCAGGACTCTACTTCAGGCCAATAAATAATAGACGACGGACTAAATTGATGTTGACGTAAAAAATATTCATCGATTTTAATATTCTTTTAATTTTGGTAACGTTGAATCGATGGTAGACGTGACGTTTAACTTCATATCGATATCGATTTCTTCGTTGGCGGAGGGTGGTCTTTCGATTGCATTTTTGTTTGGCGGTCAGGGTCATTGTTGTTTGTTTACCTAAATTAGAAGAGTCTCTTATCTGAGACAATTCAGGTGATACATGAGCCGACATCTGTTGACCAGATGCCTGTGCGTCCTGATATTATTGTGGGTTTGGACGATGTTTTTTCTCGATTAAAATGCAGGATCATAAAGTCCGGTAATGATTCGAAATCCATATTATCATTAATGTTTCCGGGTTCAGCTATTGCATTAATTATTAATTCATCATATGTTGGAGAAAGATTGATGGATAATTCATCTTGTAGATTTAAATAATTTTCTTCTTTTTTTGGTAGCAACGCTTTTATTGATAATGAAATATGGCAATACAAAGATGGAACAAAAAAAAAGAGCAAAAAGCAACGAAATGTATTGCCATAGCAAGCTGGTTAAATAAAAGAAGACACATGACATTAGTCTTTTGTCTTGACTAGTAATGTTTTAATTTGTTTAAGCTGTGAATAAAATGTTGTTGTAATTGTTTTCATATGTAGGAAGAATATATACTAGAAGTTAACGAACAAATAGATTTACTTCACTGATATATACTTTCAAGTGAGAAGGAAAAGAAAAGAAAAAGTAATAGCTAGATTTGGTTAAATGAATAAGTTGACAGATTGTCTCTGCTTCATATATAATATGAGATTGAGAGAGAGAAAATGAAATTGGATGTGGGTGTGGACGGGAATAAGTTTGAGTGTGCGTACATGACATACAGGAACAGTATCCACACACACACCCTCAACGATCATTGATGAAGAAGTTAAAGACTCATTGAAAGTTTTTTTTATAGATTCACTGTTGTTCATTCATAAAACGTTCTTAGTGTGTTAGATATAGAACAACAGTTGTTTTTGTTGTTGTTGATCATTGTCTCTCTGTTTGATATTCATGCTGTAAACAACAAAGAAATCCACCTTAAAAATAATATTGATTTCATTTATTTTTTGTACCTTTCTCCTGGCACCATAAGTTATGGTGTGAGTGTAGTTATTCTATTTACTCAGGCCCTCGCCCACACCCCACTCAGATTGTGATAATTCTAAATTACCTACTATCAAAGAATTAAAATCAAACTTTTTATTAATTATGATTGAAATTAATCGAAAAATTTAATTGTTTTATAGTTCTTTGGGGAAAAATCGATTTCAAACAAAGTTTTCTTGATCATTATGTTTTTGCAGAATACCACAGTGCAATCGAAACATCGCTTCACCGAAGCAAGTCAATTCGATATAGGAAGGAGGTTATTTTTTTGAGCATTATACTCGCCACCAATAATGACGTATCAAGATTCACACCCGTTCTCAAGATTTATTTCGATAAAAACATAAAACAAGTAGAATATTAGAAAACATTACAAAATAGAACTTGTGCAATAAACAAGTCGTCGATGGAGGTTAATTATTGGTTGAGCTGTTCCACTTTCAATAGACCAGCTGATGTCATCTTTGTGACATAATCTTGAATAGCATGTTCAATAGCGCCATTTCTGCTTTTCCATTGCGTACTTGTACCTATGATGCTTGTACTTAATGATGGACACCAGAATTTTCCACTCCATTTCCATTGCCAACGATGAAAACCACCTTTGAATTGTGAATGACAGGTTGTGCCGAAAGCTTGTTTTGTATCAATATTACTCCATGAATTGTACTTTGCATAAATAAACGTACCCACAGATATGCCACATGAAGTCCAGTTTGCAGATAAGCATGGTGTTAAATCCACATTTGCACCTTCAGCCTGAAAATTGAAACTCGCACTCAAAATCAGAATAGTAAAGAGAAATCCGAACAGCTTCATTATAACGACTTTTAATAAATAGAATGCTGGTCCTCGTATAGTTTTGTTTTATTTCTGTTTCTCCCAAATAGTACTAATATATTATATATTATTTCATACAATATGTATATATATGCACACGAACAGCAAAGGTCATAATGGCGTGTAATCAAATACTACAGAGTCATGATGTTAAGATAAAGTTGAAATCCAATCTTAGTGAAAAATATATATAAAAAAGAAAGGAAGTAAACGTTTTCATCAGAAGGCACAATGCTATCTTGTTGATTGCCATAGAGATAATCCAAAATATTTTGGAAGTTTCCGTTTTAATTTTTTGCGTGTGAATTTATGAGTTTAAGTCAAAGATTCCTACATTGCTGGAATAAATTACTAAACTTGAAATATAATGTCACTTTTGCCAGGACTCCTCAAAAGCTATACTATTCTTTTAATCTCATATAGATATAAGCGAAAACATATTTCTATGCTTCACATTGTCAAGCACTAAAACAAAAGGTCATACATAATTCTGAAAGGAGGAGTTTAGAATGGATATTTTTTATCCGTTTATCTATGATCTGACTGAGCAATAATTCAAAATACTTTTCTTCGCTCAAGAGCGATTCTTCCATGTTCTGTTATCTACAAAACTTCTAATTTTTTAGCAGAAATGATCCATAATGAGAATTCGATTTATTAGCCTATTACTACTGATGCTGGCATTTGAGAGTGGGATTTACTGGTAGCTGTACTTCTGAAATCTATGATAGTGGAAAAGAAGAAGAGATCATTATGCTCAATGATCATGGTTATGTTGATCTTTAATCTGGTGTTCGAGTTATGCATATGATTGATTCAAAATCTTAATCCATCAACGAGGCTATGGATGTCTTCTCACACATATACATGAGGGTGTGGGTGATGGCACAGATTGAAAGAAGACTCTCACCTACACCCAATGCGTCTTAAATGAATTTGTCGCGTTCTGTCTACAGTCTATTCATTCACCCTTTTCTTATGCACACGTAACTGTATATAAGGAATGCGATTGAACATAGAAAACATTAATTTTTATTTTATCTTTTTTTCTAGACTATTTTTCGACTAATATTTTGAGTCGAGAAAATGCCTCCCTTGATCTGTGATCGGGAAAGTCTACTCTGAAGTGGTCTGATAGAGACCAGACCAGCTCAAGGCCATCCATATCCAAAGATCTAATCTCCTTGAGTTCAAAAAATAGGGATATGGGAGGGAAATTTAATTAAAAAGATATAATGATAGGCTTATAAAAGAAAAAAAATGAAAAATTCGCTGCATGATAGGTTTGAAACACGCTTTCAGAATGTATCGGATGTGTCGTACTTTGTGTCACCAATCACGACTGATCCGACACATTTTAACTTAGTATGATGCATACTTATTCATCTATAGATTGTAAATATTAAACTACACTATAATTTCCAGATTATGAAATGTTTGCTATCTTTGAGCATATTTCGATTTTTATGATTTAGTGTTGATGTTTTTGGATGATTCTAGTTGCTTTCTTTCAGCCGCAATTAACATGTTTTTATTTTGTGAAGTTATCAATCATACATTTTTTTATTGATTTCTCGCAATTTACATAATATATTCGATTGAAAAGAACATTATTCGGCCAGAATGATTCAAAATCGTTCTACAGATATTCTCATGAGAATGTGAACCTGTTTGAAGTACAAATTCAAATGAGTGAGTCACACGTCTTCTGTCTCTTGTTTTCAGTGAGAGATAAATCAAATATCGAATCGTGATATAAACCTTACTGATTTCGTTTCTTTTTCAATTTTAAATACATACAAATATTTAAAAAAAAGAATCCTTGTTTGTTGATAATGAATAATAGAAAGTTCGAGAAGAGATATGATGTGTCGTCGTCTAGTTATAGTCAACATCAATTGTTTTTGAAAGAAACTCTTCACTTGAAATCACAGAGAAATAAATTTTATAAAGCTAAGAATTTATTTTGCTTTGTCATTACTCGTCATCTATTCGTCTACTGAGTATTTTAGTGTTTCTATATGTAGTTCTTTATAAAATAGTTTGTACTTTAACGCGTTTTGAGAAGCGTAAAAAAGGAGCTAGAGCAAACAAAGTAGATAAATGTTGTCCTATCGTAAAATACAGATAAGAAGTCATCAGGAAAAAAAATAGGCAAACGATGTAGGCAGTAATCGTTTTTTCTAGCAATATGGATTTGGGTGTCGGTGTGAGGGTGGATATGAGAGTGTGGATGGCTGTGGCTGTATATTTGTTTTAATTGCACTCACGCCCACACCCTCAAGAGCCGATGAAGATAGGTATAAGGATGAGAACATAGAATCCTCAGAGTGGTATCTCACCATGCTCCTGCCTGTCTCGTAATACAGTTTTTTAAGGGGTTCTGTATGTAGAGCCTTTCACTAGTGATGGTCACCCAAAGTAGAATATATCTGATTCAAAACATTCTTCTTCTCCACTCTTGTTGTACCTCTTCTCTGTGAGGAATAAAACAAATTCTACTGTTTATGACACTTGCGATGTATATCTAGTTTTCTCTTTACTAGATTATTTTTTTCTGTTTAATATTGTTACATTTATAATTCTAGATTTTGCGACATATTCACACACTATATCTCATACGTCGGTTTTCTGAAGGCGCGCAGAACTATTGTAAAAACATTTACTGGACAAACTATTACATTTGGAAGTGAAATCGAGCGATACCATTAAAGAATTAAAAAATAAAATTTTGTGCAAAAGATGGAATGCCAGTTGGAAGTCAGCGATTGATTTTTACAAACACAACACTTGAAGATAACTAAACATTGTCGTATTACAATATTAACCCCGAAAGTACACTATACCTTATGTCTCGACGAACAGGTACGACATTTGTTTTCTTGAGAAGATAGAAATTTTCCAAAAATCGACTTCAACGAACGGGTGTGTTTGTGGAGATTGATATTGGGTGTAGCGAATTCCAGAGTAGCACCCGTACCCAATGCTGATTATACGAGTTTACAGCCATGTATAGTTATATCAGCAATAGATAGATATGGATGAAGATAATCTGATGTATTCAGTCGTATACAAATATACTATCTATAAGAAATTGGTTTTAAAAATCTATCGATAGTTACATACATTTTCAGAAATAACAAACCCATCGTAATTATCTGAATAAAAAAGGTTAAATGAAATCTGTTTTTTATTCATTGAATTTTCATCTGAAATACTAATTAGTATTGTTTTCAGGTTTAATCTTTTATAGAGCATGATTCAAAAGATTCCATTATCCGAACTAACATATGTGATCATATAGTAGAGATTTGCTATTCATTGAATAACACCAAACGAAAGAAAACGTATAGAATTTTTTTTAAATTTAACCTGTATGGAAGAAGAAAATTGAAGAATAACTCATATCGTCCGAGTAGTTCATGAAGGAAAACATACTACTGATTACGCATTTACTTTTGTAACTAAAGCAATACTGAGAATTATATATACTTTATCGTCACTTTAAAATTCATTATCTATCTCTTTAATTTATAAAATGAAAAAAAAAGATCAAAACTATGCAATAGACTGGATAGCGTGTTGAAAGACAATAATATTTTTCTTTTTTTAAAGAAATTTCGAAAAACGAAATGTGTATAAATCAACTTAAAACCACAATGAACATTAGTTAGATATATGAAGCTGAATGATAGAACTTTAAAACTCACATAAACATTTACAAATAGCAAATGCTGAGCTTATTCGAGCGTGTTATTTTCCTATTTCATATAACTAGTTTCCTAAGCAGAACCGTAATTTTATTTTGTTGCTTTTTTTTCTTCTTTTCTTGTAAATCATAGGGTATAACAAGTCTTAGATCTAATTTCAGATCAAAAGAGCGAAAGAACTGTTAGGATCTACACTGTGATGATGTCTATATCCATATTGGTGTCTCTCATGGAATCTGATCTGATCTGCTTGAACGGAATTAAAACTAAACTATCACACCCCTAGTAAATCATCCGGAACTAATCAATTCTGATTCAGTGTCAAACATCATTAATAAACAGGTTTTTAAGATATATATATTTTTGTGTTTCTGCAATGAATCTGGGCCAAATTTATTGAGAATTAGGAGACATTTTCTTGTAAAGAATATTCTAGTAGAAGGACATTTTCCTTTCATCATCTTTTTTTCCTCTTTGAATAATTGAATTCTTTTTTGAAGTTTTCTAACTTTTGGAGAATCTTCTTCAATTTCGATTAAGATCTGTATGAAATGAGTTGTTCTTACGTTTTCTCGTCTAGTTAATATACTTGCTAACGCAAAATTACTTTCCCATCGCTACTAACAGATATAAGTGTGACAGTAAATGATCATCTCAACTTAATATTACAGTCTGAAAAACTATCAGAGTGAGTATTAAATAGATTTTTTCACAGACATGATTTTTCATCACTATAGATTCTGATAGACCTTGAAAATTTTCTAATATTCTATGTAGCTAGTATAAGAAAAAGTGTCTTTGAAAGCGTACGTGTCAATATAATATTAGAATATATTCTTCAGTATGCAAAATAGTTAATAAAATATATATATGAGATGATAGAAAACTCTCGAAAATGTCTTCATTTTCATTACATTCAATTTATTTTCTTTTATTCTACTCATTGTAGACCTATCACCGTCAGAAGAGAATTTTCTTTCTATAGAATCTGCCGGTATAGAAAGACATCTTGCGGTGAATTTTCTTGAATTTCTAAAAAAATGATCTATTTTAATTTTATGTTTTCTCTTCTAGTTAATATTCATGCTAATGTCACAGAATAATTTATAGAGTATAATAAAAGATATTCTAGAACACAGAAGTAAGAAATGCGATTTTCTAAATAGGAAATGTTTTACTTAGATTTAAGAGAAAGAAAAAAATTCTAATAAAATATTTTGATCATAAGAAAAGACAAAAGAATACAACTGAACAAGCTCATATACAAAACATCGAAATTATATTAACAAAATTATATTTCTAATATTCATGTGAGCCATATAAAAAATAAATCGCTATATTACGGCATATGTCTGTTCATACAAAATAGACTTACCCCATCCAATGAAAAACAAATTTCGAGATCATATGCGTTTCAACGCAAGGTTTTTAAAAATCCAGCTTAAACTTGCTTTTAATAACGTATCTTTTACCTTAAAAAACAGTATACTTCAGAAATACGTTGCAACAGTGTTTTAGGCATCACTTCTTTTTTTGAATCTCTAGAACTAAATTGGTTTATTTTACTACATACTTTGTTTAGATTAAAGCTGATCTCTCTCTCTCTTGACAGCTTGAATAAGTATATCTAGAAATTTTTGTCAGTATTTTATCTAGTGATGGATCAACTAAAAAAAAGTTACTAAAATACCTAGATTAAACTAAAAGTCAAAATATTCATATAGTTGAAAAACAAAAGAGATTAACACTACGATTATTTATTATCAAAATGTATTAGGTAGAGAGCAATTTATACATTTACAATAATTGATCTTATATACTTAAATTAATGTTAATTGGTATTAAGAAGAAATTGAAAAGAAAATGATGCTAACCCCAGAAACCATTGAAATGAACAGAGAGATTATTTCGAAACTTCGGTAAGTGCCGAATAAAATACAAAATTTCTTCTTATATTCACTAAGTATAGACGTGCAATTAGTTACTATATAATGTTATCTGTAAGTATCTGGATCAACTTTATCAAAGTTCGAATCTATTATTCATCGTCGCATCATCTAAAATATATTGCTTTTTGCGTTTTTGATTTATGAAAAACCCGTTGAAATGCGTTTTATAAAATGCGCAAATGTTCTAGCGAAATCATGTTATCATAACTCGCTATAACTATAGCTAACCGAAATAATGAATACACATATGAGACGAAACAACAATGACTCGATATAGTATAAAAGGCCATTATTAAAATGATTCCCCGAAAACAAGTAGCGATTTGTGAGTTTTTTTAAATTATAGAAAGTCAAACATTTTCTTAACTTTCAAAATTCGATGAATGTTACTATAGTGTAATTCTGTCGAAGAATTCTTTTAATATAACTTTCATTTTTATCGAGGTCATAAGAGAATTTCATTTCAAAAGAATAATCTTCCAATTTAGAAAAAACGTTTTGTATGAGGGAACTTTCTTGAATTTCTAAAAAATAATGATTTATTCAAAGAATTTTGCTCGAAACTGGAAATTATGTCATATACTACTGGATAAGTTATACTCGAGAGAGAGAGAGAGAGAGAGAGAGAGAAACAGTAGTTCTTTTCTAATAATGCGATCACTTCAACGCGATAAAAAGAGAGATCTCCTTTTATTCTTACGTTTTCCCTTCTAGTTAATATTCCTGCTAATGCTAAATGGGCACAGAACGGAGTGACTGTTGCTGGAGGCAATGGGAGATGGGATGCTACTAATCAACTCGACCACCCTCTTGGCCTCTTCGTTGATGATGAGCAAACAGTGGTTATTGCTGACTACTACAATCATCGTATCATCCAATGGAAGAACGGTGATACAACGAATGGACAAGTTTTTGCTGGTGGCAAAGGCCAAGGAAATGGATTGCATCAATTGAATGCTCCCAGTGATGTATTAATTGACAAAGATACAGATAGTCTCATTATCTGCGACCGAGACAATCGACGAGTTGTACGATGGTCTCGTCGTAGTGGCACAACAAAAGGAGAAGTTCTCATCGACAACATTGAATGTTATGGATTAGCTATGGATGAGCAGAGATATCTCTATGTATCTGACTACATAAAAGATGAAGTAAGACGATATCAATTGGGTGAGAAGAATGGCAGCCTCGTAGCTGGTGGAAATGGATATGGTAAGGATCTCAATCAACTCAACTTTCCGACATATCTCTTTGTTGATCGACAACAGAATGTCTACGTGTCAGACTACGGCAATCATCGTGTAATGAAGTGGACTAAAGGTGCAAAAGAAGGTATTGTGATCGGTGGAGGTCAAGGGCGAGGAAATACTCTGACACAATTAAATGGTCCTAGTGGACTCTTCGTTGATACGTTGGGTACACTCTATGTAGCAGACCGGGTGAATAATCGTGTAATGCGTTGGACTCAAGGAGACAAGACGCAAGGCACTGTAATTGTGGGTGGAAATGGTCGAGGGGCAGGAGCAAATCAGTTCAGAAGCCCCGTTGGTTTGTCTTTCGATCGACATGGTAATCTCTATGTCGTCGATTGGGATAATGATCGTGTTCAACGATTTTCTATCGAATAAGATTTGAGAATTGCTTTCTCGTTGTTCGTTTCTTTTTCTATATTTTGAAATTTTCTTTTACGCTCTCTTTCGCTTGAAAGAAAGCCATAGTGAGCCGAAGCTCTTCACGTACAGACATAGAAACTAACGTGTATAGAACATACAACAGATAGAATCTATATAGCGGCCTGTAGGTGATACAGGTACCAATATAGGCTTGACCAGTTTCACACCGATGTATGAAAGGCCTGCTCCCTCTGTAGGATGTATTATAAATATAAAAGAATACTTACTTTTTTTATATTACTAAAACGAAAATAAAAATAAATAAACAAATTTTAACTAAAATGAAAATAAAATGAAAATAATAATAAAATAAATAAAATAAATGGGGCAAAAAGCTGAGACAATGAAAGAAAGAATCAAAAACGAAAACTATACTTACTCTTTCTATTGATAATGATAAATACGAATAGAAGCTAAAATAGTTAAAAAATATTATATATATATATATATATATATAATATTATAATATAAGAAGAAAAGGGGGAATGAAATTTTACGTTGAAAATTATAACTATTTATAGTCATCTTTAGTGAATTCAGATGTACAATTGATATTAGCTATCAATTGTACTTTTGATTGATCAATGATGTGACAGTGTTACAATTAGTAGTCATCATCGAGATAAATCAATTATGTCATACAAAAAAAATAACATAGTGACGTACTCTGTACTAATTGTTCGTTTGTTTCATCTGCACTTGCACAGAATGAAAGAACGACAAGTCTATTCATTTATTTTAGTATGTGAACTTGTTAACACTATCGAAGGTGAGATATTTCTTTTTATTATTATTATTTAAATCAAGAAATAAACGAATGATTTTTTTTCTTGATAGACATAACAATGTCTTTTGAAAGCAATATCAATTGTCAACCACAAAAGCTTATTTATTGTTGATCTAATTTATTTATTAATATTTTTTATTTAAATATTTCAAATTTAGATACTTTAAAAGAACAAATTCTTGATGATTTTGATACAACATTAACAAGTGCACGACCTATTTCATCAATCAGTTCAACAGCATCAAATGGTTAACGAAATTCATCACAGTGGTAATTTTTTTATCGCTATTAGTCCCTTCTAAAATTATATTATGGAACAATAAATACATGAAAACAAAAACCAGGTCTTTCTTATAGTTAATTTTCTTTATTTTTTAGTTTGAATATTATTCTATGGTTTATGTAACGATAAATATGAGGCTCGACTTGAGGTTGATACTGTAATGGCAAACTGGATAGAGGGGGAGTAGCTTACTGACACTCTCGGCAATCATGTTTATTCGCTCCTTCACATATCCAAAGTGTAACAACTTCATACATAACACACGTATTTATAGGAGAGAGATAAAAGAGAGACAGGAGATATATATATATATATCAGAGGTGTCCACAGGGCCAATTTTATTGCCCTGCCGTGCTAATTAAGAAAATGTTTTTTCATGTTTAAATTCAAGTTTAAGTAATCTTTTTTATTTGAAAAATAGCTCAGCAAATAGATAAATGAGCAACAAATAATAAGCTAGCCCTAATTGAAAAAGTTTATATGATGATATTGCGTCATCACTGGTGATCCATCAGCAGGTTGGCTTTTCCACGTAACCCGCTACTTCGCTGATCAAGTTTTAAAAAACGTTTTTCGGTATATAGAGATCTAAGGATATTTTCTGGTACAATTTTTTACGTTGATTATGAGTTTGGACTTTTTTTTCTTAAAAAAATGAGTTTTGGCGTCGAAAATCAGGTTTTAAAGTTTTCAAAAATTGTATTTTCAATTTTCTAACCAAGAAATGTAAAACGAAAATACAGAGTAATATACCATTCGATGCAGAATTTGATTCTTTACAAAGTGACCTGTTAATTGTTTACTCATATTCTTCAGGACAACTTCTAAGCTCTTATACAGTTTCTAACTTACTATACAATTATTGAGCTCGTATTTCGATGTAGCAACTTCATTTTTTACAGGAGGATATATGCAGGGCAGTGATCAATATAACGGGTGCGCCAGGTAAAATGAGCCTCTCATTATTTTTCGAATATTTCGTTTAGGTTCTCACGCATTGATTTGATTTTTTTCTTTGAAAGATAGCTCATCGAATTCTCTACAAAACCTAGTGAAGACAGTTCTTTCAACGAATCATTATGAAACTATATCCAATCTACACTACAATGCTCCAAAATAGCCTACGCTTTCAAAGCAGTGTATTTTGTATTTCCGATTTTGCACTGCTCTTTCCATACTTAGAAAACGGATTGATTAGGCTAGTTTGTAGCCCTTGAAAAGCTCTATCAACTGAGCAAAAACTTTATTTTAGCGTCACACCATGTTATTTGAAAAAAGCCTCTTCTTGGTTCGGCACTACTTTCGTTTTGAGAATCTTTCGTATAATTATGCACAATTATGGTTTTGTTAACTTACATTAAATTGACAATGATGATGCATTTAGATGTAATACCAAATTGACGATAACTGTTTTCTCTATCATTCCGATAGGGAAATAATGCGATTAAGAGATTTTTGCAATTCTTGTGTCATAAAATGAGGAAGATCGATAGTTTCAAACCGTTTTTAAAGAAAATTGATCGATGACAACTCGCAATCCTATACAAATATCTTATTTTAAGCCTTATTAGAGAGATTAAACTTGAGAACAGAGGAAAATTGTATGAGAGTAGAGTCTCGTATCTGTTTGAATAGAAAAAGTGAAATAATTAGTTTTATAAAAATAAGTATTTGAAAGTGGACTATTTTGGAGCATTGTATTGTAGACTGGATATAGTTTCATAATTGATTCGTTGAAAGAGCTGTCGTCTCTAGGTTTTGTAGAGAATTCGATGGGCTACCTTTCTGAGAAAAAAATCAAATAAATACGTGAGAACCTGAACGAGATAGTCGAAAAATACTGAGAGGCTCATTTCACCTGGCGCACCCGTTATATAAACATTGAATATTTCTAAGCATGTTAAGTGCTTCAAATTTGGTCGCCAAAAAAACGTGTCACAGCGTTACGTTTGGTTTTTGCTTTTTTAATTTGAGTGAAAATAGTTTAGAAAAATATTTTTACTGCTTGAAAGCCCATTCAATTCTCTACAAAACTGATACCATAAATATTTCATTTGAAGAAATGATTTGCGAAAAAATTAGAGCTTTATAAGTAGCCCTAGAAAAAAGGGTCTTTTTTGTCACAGTGTTACGCGATGATAAAACCTTTCTAGAAGCGCGAGAGTTCAGTCAAACTAGGTCATTCTTTCAACATAAATAGATTATGATAAGCTGAGTCAAATAACGTTTGAACGACCTGATTAGCTCTTATGCCTTTCGAGATAATTGCAAAACAATTTGTTAAAATGCCACAGCGTTAAGTTTGGACAAGCCGAGATATATTTAACGAAGAGAGAATAGAAATTTCACTTTCATCACCAGGAGAGATAGATGAAATCTCAGCACATGAATCTATCCATGATGATAGCGATGCATATATTTATTAAAATAATAAGAACATGAGCAACTATTACAATTATATTTAAAATATATGTGCACTATTATCACTATTATGATTCCTTTGTTATTTTCTTTTGTTTTCTTACGAATTTGATTGGATCCCATACGGTCATCATACAAACACAAATATAACAATGTATTTACCATTTAATAACGCCATCTGAATTTCTTAGTTTCTTTCACGTTTCCGAGAAAAAACAAAATTGTTGTTCTTTTCGAATTAAAGTAGGTATATGCAGAATTTGCAGGGCATGAAGATATAGCCCTGCCATGTCCTGCTGTTTGCTCTGGCCGCCCTGCCCTGTACAGGGCAAAATATTTTTAAAAATTTTCACCCTGTGCCCTGTCCTGTGGACACCTCTGACCCACACCCACACCCTTCTCTTCACATTCAAGTGCTTTCTCTTTTTTGTTTTTGATTTTCATCCCACAATCCCTTTACCAACTTAGTTATCTCATCATCAAGTGTCGATTGTAAACAAGTGAAAAGTTTTTGAAACCCTCTGTTTATACATGTTATATCCGATTTACACTTCGCAATTTCTCTTTCTTATTTTTATGTAAGGTAGCGGTAATTCAAAATTTGAGCAAATTTTATTTTTCGATATTTTATATATGGTTCGATAGAGCTCATCAAACTGTATAAGAAAATGTATTTTAAAAAAATTCTAGTTGTTTCATTTACAAAAAAAAATCAAAATATCTCGATTACTTTGTTGTAAGTAAAAATCGCTTATTTTTGATAAATGGCGTTTTAATTTCACTTTATCTTATTCTAACAAGTCTAACAAGTTTGAGAGTATTTTTTTCTTAATCAGCATAAAAAACTAAGTATAAAACATTAATTTCGATCTTACTAAAGTATGAGATAATTAATTTTTTTCTCTGTGCATGCATCACAATACATAGGTGGCGCTAGTATAAGGTATAAACCTATCTAGTTTTTTTTGACAAGATATGAAGTCAAGTTATATATGTCATTCGAAACAACTTCGAAGGACTAACAAACCTATGTATAGACTTTCCTTGATACCTTTGTTTTATCTGGAAGAAAAAACTATTTTTTTCAAAATATTTATCCAATAGGCAACCTATTTAACTTAAGCACTTCCGAGTGTTACATATGCCGGCAAAATAAAAAAAAATGCCCCCTTCTACAAGAGTAATATTGCTCGATACTTTCTTTTGTGCTGTGGCAATAATATAAAATTTTTGAAGTGTTAATAAACAAAACGAGAGAATTTACGAAAGAAAACATTGTACTATACAAACAGAACAGGTAAAAGGTTACTTAGCAGCAAGGAAAAAGCCAACTGTTAAAATTTTGATTGAATCAAGCAATGAAATACATGATTTTGAATTTCAGTTGCAAACTTCTTGTTACATCACAAATGGACAAAACCAATTCATTATTCAGTATTTTATTACTAATATTTTAATAAAATAAAAAAATTGTTGCACCGTTAAAAAACATTTCTTTTATGTTTTCTCAAAATTTTTAGCAAACTTGTAAAATATTCAATCATACACGAATATCTATAATGCTACATAAAAAGTGTATGTCCATAAATAAGACAACAACAGAAAGTTAAGTAAAGTTTTGTAATATATTGTAATGAGTAAAATAGTCATCTTCGTTTCGTATTAATTTTTTCTGGTTCTTCTAGATGATCTTATCTAAAATGAATCGAACAGCGTGTTTTGTATGAGAACGAATATTGATCAAAATAATTTTCTATTATAGACGCATAACGATATGCAATTGATATATTCAGCGAAGGCAGAACTTGGCATCTCCATGGCAACAACTCAGAATAGCGTTATTGCCAATTCTTTTACTATTGATAGCAGCATGACTGGTACTAGCTAGTATGTAGAATGGTCAGGTCTACACCATAGCTGACCCGTCTCCATAGCAGCGAGTGCCAGTAACGTTAGTATCAATAGGAAAAAGAATTGATAAAAATTCTATTCTGAGTTGTTGTCATGAAAATGCCCAGCTCTGAGCGAAGGTGATACTAAGATCAATTTGCCCAAATAAAGCTAACTTCTATGCATTAAACTATTTTGACTTAAAGTATTCCACTACGGAAAATTATTCTTTTTTTAGGCAGTGTAATTAAATAGTTCGTTTTTCCAACATTGAATACAAATGCTTGGTCACACGCTAATAATATACAATGCGCAATAGTTCGTCATAAATGCATCATTACAAGAGACGTGAGAATGAACAAATAATGAAATAGTTTGAGAGTATAGTCGAGTGATTCATACATTAAGAAATCTATGGAAGTCTTTGAAAAATGTCGACACCCTATTAGTAAATGTTTGTTCCGTCTTTCCGTTCTGTCGTAATGCGACCGAAAAGTGCAAAATGATTGAGAGAATACATATTTTCTTTTCGTCTGATTGTGCTATTAAATGTTACTATGCTAAAAGCCAACTGAAAGATTCTGCCGTTACGTTAAACATGGTTAACGGCTAATTTGATGATATTTTAGTTATACTGATGTGTGAAAATGTTGAACATGGTACCAGAGGCTTGTTTTTGTTGAAGTTGTTAATCTTCTTAGTATATTCAGTGAAGTTAACAATCCTATTATTTTAGATACTATTTTTAAAAAGTACAACGTAAATCATGGGCGAATTTACGTTGCTTGATCATCTCCGATCGATGGCACAACAGAACGGTAATGAACAACGCGTGCAAGTTAATCAAAGACTACTAATTGATAAAATGCTTGCTCGTTATTCATCTGATTTCGTTGTTTTCCGTGAACTCATTCAAAATTCTGACGATGCTAAAGCAACATCATTTCATTTTGAAATAACATGCGAACCGTTAAGACCACTTGTTACTTCAGCCAAGACGAAAATCACATTACCATCAAAAGAATTGGCAGCTCAAAACGAATCATTGCTGATGTCAAATACAGTACTGAAATTTCACAACAGTCGAATTACTCAACTTCGAATGGTGAACAACGGTATCGTATTTGATGAGACTGATTGGAAACGTGTTGCATCAATTGCTGAAGGAAACACCAATGTTGAGTCAGTTGGACAATTTGGTGTTGGATTTTTTACTGTGTTTTCTTACTGTGACGAACCAATAATTACATCTGGAAATGAATACATGGCATTTGTCTGGCGGGATGATATTTCATTGACAACATATCGTTGTCAATTACCAATCGAACAACAATCAAATCAAACTTCAATTATACTCAAGATGAAAACAGAATATATTCTAATAACAGAAGCTAATACAGATTCATCAGAAAGTAGAGTCAAATTAGCTAAGAATACAACAAAGGGCACAACTGAAAAAGAAACTGTGCCATCCATTGACTTCAATCAATTGAAAACCTACTGCGCCAAAGGTAAAAATAAAGTATTTAGTGTGAAGATGTTAATTCTTTTTTTCTTGTGAGTAGTACTTTCATTTACAAAATATATCAATGAAATTAGTGTTAAAATCAATGGAGATATGGTATTTAATGTAAAAAAAACGAAGGTCCTCATACCATCTGCTCAAGGAAAAGCTCAGTTTAAAAAACAATCTTCAGTTCATAGTATATTAAATCTTAATAGGTTTGAAGAAAGTGAACAAACATTTTCTATTACAAATGGCCCATCATTGACATTGAGACACATCGCTGTTGATGCAGCAGTTACTATTAATGAAAAACTTCATTCGCAGATTCAGCATACAATGAAAAAACGTCTACCATCCAACATTCAGATTCAAATTTTATATGCATCAAATGATGTAATTATATAGAAAAAATTATTCTTTCAAAATATAAATGTATAAAATCTTTGCCATCGTTTTAGCTTATTGCTAGTAGACGGTCCCAAACACCACCAATCGATACTGATCCAAACGCCGAAATTCTAAATTCATTAATTCCACTAAAATTTGAAAACGGTCGCGTAACTCCATCAGGTCTAATATTCGTTGGTCTTGGAACACATCAAACGACAGGATTTGGAATGCATGCCTTTAGTCATTTAATTCCAACGATTGAACGTGAAAATATTGATTTACAAGATGCATATATTTCTATATGGAATACTGAACTTCTTATGTCAATTGGTCAAATAGCACGATTGATTTATGATAGAACAATGCTCACTGATTTCAACAAAAGTCAAAAATTGATCGATGATTATGAAATATCTCTTATCTCATATTCATTTCAATCATCAGTACCAGACGGTAAAATTGGTATGTATTTTTTCTTATGAAATCTTCACCAGTAAATTTATTGCAGTCAAGTAAAACGCGCTAAAGTCTTCTGATATTTTTTCGTAATATTTTATTGTTTATTGATTTTCATTTTTTTATTGAATAGGTAAAGCAATAATCGAGGGCTTTTTTGTATTAAAGAACGATGTTTTTCTGCCTACACAACAAAAGCCATCCGACAAATGTCTTACTCTTGTGCCATCGACAACAGCTTTTCTAGCAAGATCAAAACGAATTCATAAATTTTTATCTCTCCCATTGATTCCATTTCAATTGGTTGACAGTAGTTTCATTCGAACTCTGGAAAAGTGGGCATTAATCAACATCGCAGACAGAAGCATAATTGAAAAAAAACTTTTTTCATCTATTTTATCGAAAGATGAACTTATTGAATTAATCCAATGGCTGTTTAGTGAGGATGTCGCAGATAAATTGTACGCCAAACGTATTCTTTTAATTATTTCCTTTAATGATCCTTGTTCTCATTGTAATATAAAATTCGGAACTATCCAATACTATGACGCTTTGAACACACCATCAATGTTACCTTTACCTAGTAATACCTTGCCAAGAGACATTACTGCTGTTTTTTCAAAAGATCAACTTGAAAATCAATTATCGTTAATACCTTTGAAGCTTATTGATCTAGTTAACTCTTATTGCAAGGGTGACATGTCACGTTTAATATCAGATCCAAAGCTAAATCCATACTTTCTCAGCTTCGTTTCCACTTGTTTGAGTCAAATCAATAAACAACAATTGACGCAAATAAAACAACTTTTATCGAAATGTGTATGCATACCAACAACAAAAGGTATGAAAATACCTCGTGAATCATTCATCCCATCAGAATTGACATCACCTGAATTGCCTGTGGTATTACTTAATATCATACAAACTGATACAGACAATAACGAACAATTAAGTCAAGATCTTGAAAATCCAGTCACGCTTGCGTTTCTCAAACAAATCGGGTGTCGAATGTTCAATATTCATGCATTGGATGATAATAGAGTCGGCTCCGATAGGTTTCCAGATTTGAAGAAACTTATTCGTCTATTAATAAAAGAACGTGATAATATGATTGAAGAAGATTTCTCTGAATTAAAAGTGAAAAAAATATTTAGAGGTTTGTTTATTAAAGAACTGTTTATATTGGAGTTTTTTAGGATAGAATGAAATTGAAAGACTTTTGATAAATATTCAACATTCTTTTCTGTACGGAAAACAAGAACAGCCAAGAATATGTTTATCCTTCGCATAAGCAAACATCTAATAATTGACGGCAGCTTCTTTTCTAACTTGCAAGCGAAATTCGATGCATGAAAAGTAGAATAGTAAACTCTCAACATCACTAGAACGTATATTTACTGCTTGACAGTTATTCTATATTGGTTCTAATCATAATTAGTAATAGAATTTGGCGAGAGAGATCTTTAACAACCACTTGAAACCCACATATAACCCATTATTTGTATATCTAGGTACAACTTTAGAAGGAACTGAAGAAACAAAACAACTCTATATTCCAAGCGAGCTTCATTTTCCATCTGTTGCTGCTACACTCGGTTGGTGTACATTACCCATCATTGATTGGCTTGATATTAATCCACAATCGAGTGAATATGCTTTTCTCAAAGAGATTGGCGTACAAGAGATGCCTGATTTGCAAAAAGTTCTCGAACGAATTACACAAGAGCATACTGAGAAACAACAAAAACAAACCAGTAATGCACAATACGAAATCTCATTGACACTTAAGTTTTTTGCTGAAAAATTTAAACAATACTATCTTAAATCATGGAAAAAAGACTCACATGGTGAATATCCATTTCTTCCGTCATATTCTCCAGGAAAAACTATCGATGAGTGTAATAAAAATAACGTGATACTCTGTGCGGCAAAGCATGTATTTACAGCAGTAAACCCGTTGTTTCCCAGCCTTTTACCTGAGGTAGTCAAGTTATTTCAGAGGCATTTCGATATTTTGTCGCTTGGTATCGAAGGTCGTCCAACTCTTAAACAAGCATTTAATGCCATGATGGAAAGAAAGAATGATTTGTTAACGGAACAATCAGCATCAAGAATATTTGCCTATTTGAATACTATTGAGCTGCCAAATGAAGCGTTTAAAAGAGAAATATCTCAATTTTGTTTCATTCCATTACATGGTTAGTTCATATTCTAGACATGAATCTATATATCATTTATCTGTAACATTAATTTAGACAATTCCAATGGTACAAAACTGGTCAAACCATCGGAAGTTTTCATTCGTGCAAATGTCACATCGAGTAAAGCAACTATTGCTAATGTCGATAATTTCGTTTCACGTGGTCTTATTGATTATGTTGATTTTGGTGTTGATGCGAACGCATTTCTCAAGAATATGGGTGTTTGCAATTATCCGAGACCTTCAGATCTTGCTGGACTTCTTATTCAACGGCAAGCTGCTTATTTTGCTAACATCAATAGTAACCAGGATCTTTTGAATAAAAAATGTCTTTTTTATATGGACTGTCTGCGAAGACTTGCCTACTATGTTGACGGTTCAAATGAACTTAATTTTGAACCATTAAATACACGTTTACGAACTAATGCATGGTGTCTTGGCTATCAAACAGTTGTTGATGCAAATGGTACAAATGAAAAAATATTGAAAATTGTTAAACCAAATGAAATATATCTTGAGGATAATTCAGTATATTCGATGCAATTACATCCACTATTACCACCGAACAAGGAACTAGAAAAATTATATGAACATTTTGGAGCTCGATGGCTATCAAAATGTGTCAAAGAAAGCCCTAAAATTTTAGGTAAAATAAATTATTATTAGAATAATTACAGTCTATTGTAAAAATAAGTCAACATAAAATGATTCATTGATCTCTGTTGTCTCAAGTATTTTTTTGATGCCAAAAACCATAAACAGACTTAAATAACTTTAAAACATGTTGTCAATTGATATAATTTTTTTCCTTTTCTATTGGATCATACTTAAGAGGAAAAGTCAAGTAATATATTCAATAGATTTGAAGATGAGTGTAGAATTTTAATAGATGATTATGCTTGTGTAATGATATACTCTACATTTTGGATCAAAAGCATTGACAAAAAGTCTTACGGAGATATTCTCTTGTATTTTCTATAGGCAAAAGCTTTCCTTCTGAACGTGCAACCAAGCTAAAAAAACACATTCAAGAAAGATTTCCTATGTTATTTGTTAATAATAGAGTGAGTATCTTTATGAAACTCGAATGAATTTTCGTTTTGATATTTTTACTTGTTCACAGGGAGAACCACTGCCCAATCGTGACGAGAAAAATTGGGAATTATTACGTAAGACACTCTCTGTTTATGAAGTCGATGCGATTAAAGTTTCGTTGGTATTTGAAGACAAAGTTCATCCACTCAACGTGAGAATAAGCATGAAGGGTCTCGTCAGTCTTTTGATTTTAATTCTGTGTTTTAGCAAGAATACAGTAGCTCATGTCACATGGAGTGCAACAATAAAGAAGTGATACTTTACATTAGAAAAGATGCAACTTCATTGCGATATCGGGATATTGCGAATAAACTTGCTACTTTTGTACTCAAGAAACCTGAAGAGCATGTACAAAACATCAGGGATAAACTTGAATTATCAATAGAAGAACTCAAACGCGAAGGTATTCCTGTTGAACGTTTACTTGAAAACACTCCAGATATACCAAAACTAGGTAACTTAATTATAAGAAATGTTTCAAGATTAATTTTAAATTCATGGATATTTTAACTTTCTTTTAGATCGTATGACTGAGCTAGTCAAAGAGCATCCAGTTGAGCCAGTCATACAGCATCCAATTGGGCCAGTCATGCAGCACCCAGTTGGGCCCCTCATAGAGCAACCATCCACGCCCGTCGTTGAGAAGAAGCCTGGCTTTGTTCAAATGATACTGGGGTCAGTAAAGAAACGCCTAACTTTATAGCAACGTAGAAAAAAACCGTCATGTTTTTAGAGTCTAAATTACCTATTAAAAGCTTGTTAGCGCAGCCCCTTTGGGGCTAAAATATGAAACTTACATAATCTCAACAGTTTCATTAAAATAACGTCGGTATAATATATACAAAGTAAAACAACAGTAACACAGTCGATTAATGTGAAAATAAATTTAGTCTATTTTAATTCTCTGTGTATTTTAATAGAATACTGTTTGCCTCTGGTAGGCGCGCTTTATCTCTGTTGCTACGCGCGTATCGCTTTCTCTCTTTAGTTCGTATTCTTTTCATTATTTAACTACATTATCGGTAATAGTTATTGTGTCTAATGTAGACGAAAAGGTGGGTAATTAGTGAAGAGTAATGTGGAGAGTAATTGGTGAGGGGCAATAAGGAGGATAATTAGTGGGGGGGGGGGGGGGGGGTTGGTAGGGAGCAACAAAACCTCGATACAAAAACTTTCACTCACTATTTTCTTCGAAAATATATGTGAGTTCCACAAAAAATGTTATATACTTTGTGTACAAACGACTAATAAATGTTTTACTCTGAATTCCCTATCTGATGAGATACCAATCACTACGAAATGTACATTTTTCTTCGAGTAGTGTAAATAGTTGTTGCTCAGAAGAGTTGACTTGGCTTTTAGGAATAACTCGAATGTTCATAGATCGATAGAAAGATTCTTTTTTAAGATGTTTTTTTGACTAAATTATCTCGCATGGAAGTGGATAACCACATATATGATTTACAAACGTTAGAAACGAACAAACTGATTAAAAGTCGTCTTCGAGATTACTACTGTATTCAAGGAGCTATAAAGGTATTTGTTTATTTTTGGGAAAGACCCATTACTTTAAAGTATTCTGAATGAATCATGTTTTATCCTCCAAAAAAGTTCTATCTTTAGCCTTACTTCAAAAAAAGAAATCTTACAATACTCCTCAATACCGGATATATGTGTATTGATTGACATTGGTCTTTCCACAAACAAGCCATCTGCAAAATCAATGGCGTTTTTGTAAATCTCGATAGACACAGACTTTTCTCTATGAAACCGCTTGTGACAAAATTAGTTCATTAATTAAGATAAATATATTAGAAATGTACGAAGAAACAATATAAAGCGATAACTATTCTTTTGGATGCTATAAAATTTATAAAACAACAAAAAGATTTGGATTTTATCTACAAAGTATACTTGCGCTAGAGAAAACACTGCGTAGATAAAGACTATATCATTTTATAATTAAATAATGACTTCGTTTCAAGTTATTATGCTTAGCAAAAGCTACTATTTTCTTGTCGGCTTCAAACTTTTGAATGAGTTGTGAGTATGATGAAATAATTTAATTGGAAAAATAAAACTTGAATAGGAATAAGAATACTGATCCATGTCAAAACTATAATCAAACTAGGAAATCTGGAACTGTAATTATTAACAAATCGAATTTATTTCGAAATATTCTACTTAGTTTTTCATTAGAATATCAACGAAATGCGAACTCTATTATTTTACAATATGTTAAAGATATGAAGACAGTATGAGGATTTTCCTTTTCCCCAATTTAAAGTCAAGCGCATAACGATTTTTTGACAGTTGATTTTCGAAATGTAAATAATTAATTAATTAATTTCTTTAGCTTTTTATTTGGCCGAGGACGTAATAACCACGTTCATCCTGTTAATTCAACACCATTAAACACGAATACCAAGATGTCTATGGAGGATGAAAATACTGAGAGTACACCAACGACAAATCTTGACAATGCAAATAAATCAACTGAGCAAAACAACCGAATCCCATCAATTACAGGTGTGGGAGGCGATAGTATTGAATATGACTATTCTATCAAGGCGCCTCCTAATATGCCGAATTTCAAAACCAAAGTGGGAGCAGTTGAAGCCCAATTACCCGAAATACTTAAGGGTCAATCCTATAAACACCCACAACTTACTCAGTTGGCACATACTGAAACAAAGATTAGTACAAGCTGTGAAGAAATTCCTGCTATAAAAATGATACGCACAAAACATATATTTCATTCGATTCCATTGTATATTGAGGATGGCGTAAAACTAACGGATAGAATGCTCGATCATGCAAAACAACTCTCTCATCTTCTCAGATGTCTTGCTACTCATGTTTTTAAAGCTGATGTTAAAAACTTACATATTTTTAGAGATATCAAAACAGGTAAGTGCAGAAACATTTATTATAAAGTTTATAAAACTCATTATTTATAGATAGGATCGCTTTCAATTTTGGGGGCGCTATTTTTTTCAATCTTCGTTACTTCGAGCAAGTATATGCAGATGAGTTAGAGCCTTTACTACAACAACTATCTTCATCAAAGCCTATGATACATACGATTGTTAATTTTTACTTTATGGTATACTGCCATGAATTATCACACAATATTGCAAAAGGGCATGATGAAGCATTCGTTCAATGTATCGAAAGAGTTGCTGTTAGATTTATGACGGATAAAGATATGCTTCTAGAACATTTTTCATTTAAAGATTCTATGAAAAACCTTAATTGATGCCAAGTAAAGCGTTATAAATCCTCGAATACATAAATATAATAGTTTTTTTTTGAAATGTTCTACTTAAATCAATTCTTGGAATTTTGAGAGGTCAACATAAATATATGTTCAATTGAATTTGTATTAAAGACAAATAAATATATAAGGGTGTGTTGGTGTGGGCGTGAGTGTTGATCTTCTGTCCAGGCGCACCCCACACCCACACTGAATTTTCATGGTTTACGGCTGTTTGTGCTCCGTACTTTCATGATCATACGGACCGTATTGTTTGACCTGGGTATCATGCAGGTAGATGTGAATCTGCTTGATGTATTTGTGTGCATATTGTATCGAAATGAAATGCCTTGCTTTTTTCATTCAACGAAATCGATTCGAGAGAAACGACGAAGAAATTTATTCTTAAAGCAATTTATTGGACTTGCTGATGTATGTGATTAATGAAAAGACAAATTGAAAGAAACGTTGAATTTGTTTTCATCACTCTTTTACGATTATCACTCACATTGATTGTCATGTTTTTCTTCTTCAAACTAGCACGTCGCTTGATAGTTCTCGATCTCTCTTTGTGTTTTTTTTTATATTAGTACACGTGGTTAATTATGAGTCAAGCAATATTTATCAAGTTCGAAGTCTCAACATTGTATTATGCTCTCACGAGGAAACATTCTCAAGTGATTCGCACCATTTCGATTCATCTTTTGCTGGCTTGTAGGACCGGTCATATATATATGAAATACGTGAAAGGGTTCGTGCCAAGTTCTTGTTTGAAATTAACATCTAATGATCTATCCAATATTTTAAATGCTACTGCTGATACTCGTGGAATCTTGCTTTATTTTCAAGTGTTAAAAATGATTATAGTAGCCTATATTGAAAAAACAACAACAATAGTTGAAAGTGAGTACTTATACTCGCTAGATCACATATAATAAGATTTTATTGTAGGACTACGATCTGCTTGGTGTGTTGTGTTTTTTTGTCGACCATGGTTTATCTGGATAAAATTTAAAACATTTAATTTAATACAAGCCAGAAAAAATAATAAAAGCAGATATTTTATTACACAACCAGCATTTTTATCGGTTGAAATAAATGGTCATAATTTATTATATTTAATTTTACTTGTCAAACAAAAGCAGTAACCACCACAAGCATTGAATATTCCTATTTTTAACTCGCAAGCTTGTGAATCAATTATTAGAAATACGCGAGCGTTAAGTGGAATTTATTCAGCCATAGTCAACTTTATAGTACATGATTTTCTACGACGTGCCCGAAGATTATCATTATTGAATGACATTAAATGTAAACAGTTACATAATGGTTCAGTTGACAAGTTAGTCTTTCCGGTTCATTATAAACATCGAGTTGAACGTCAATCATCATTTACACACAGTCAACTTGAAATTGATGAAATAGACATCGAACAAGTTATTGCTGATGCCTATCATCATGCTGTTGATATGCTTGAAGGTCTAGATATATTGAACTTATTGGAGAAAAAAAACATGTTCTTGAATTAAAACCATTAAGTGAATATTTATTCGACAATTAAATTCCAATTCACAAAACATAATTACTCTTCTCAAATAAGCAATATAGACGATGAAGTATTTGAAAGTGACAATGATAATGCTGAAGATGGAGATGACACAACAAATGATCTCAGCATGAATGAGGACAATAATGATAGCTCTATTAACAACGATTACACTGATGAAGATGAACAAAATAACATTCATGATTTAATAAATACTACAAAGAAAGACTTCTCTGGAGTAAAAATTGCTGATAAAGTGGAGCCTCATATTTAACATACCTATTTTAAAGTGAAATAAAATCATGATACACAATTTTTACACAAGCAAACTGCTTGTTGGTTGTTAACAGAAGAGAAAAGTAAACTTTCAAATGACCGATTACTTCGCGTGCAACAGGTCTATAAATGATAATATAAATGGCTTTTTCTTTTCTTTATAGTCTTTGTTTGATTTTTTTTCAATAAAGGGTATATTTTGTTGAATTTAAAAGTTTTTCATTCATTGAATGTGTTGTATATGGGTGGTACACAGATACTGTGCGAACATCTCAAAAGTGGAGCCAGTATCAGTTGTATTCTATGTAACAGGTGATGAAAAGTAAAATTAATATACAGCAGTATTACATGTCTATAATATACTTTTGAAGTGCTCTCCAGAATTTCAAACGACTCCACTGGACTCCACTGGACTTCACTGGATTGGAGTCCACTATTTCCCCCTTGTGGTGGCCTGTGGATTCTCTCTAACTGTCTGTGATGGTCTCTACCGACTCCATTGATCAAAATACAGACTGCGAGCGAAAGACTGCATATATGATTACAGACAGTGGCATAAAAGCTACAAATACTCACAGGCCGTGGTAGACAGGTTTCAGCAAAGGAGTTACATTGTGTTTCACATTTTAATCCCACAGGGATTGCGCTAAGAGCTTTTTAACTCTAACACCAAAGCATTAGCATCTTTTAAATACTAATGCTAAGCCGACACCTCTAGTTATAAAATTCCGTTTGTTATAGCCGTATAACTACGTCAAAACATTAACAAGTTAGATATGAAAATATCATGTGTATTCAGAATACTTATCATATTCTTGACGTCTTCAAGCTAAACACTGATAACAAAATATAAAGAACTCAAATACACGAAGTCCTATGTTTTTCATCCAGGAGCAGTATCAAATTTGTGTTAGCAAAAGGTAAGTGAGTTGTTATTAATAGAACAGTCAACATCAAAGGGAAAATATTGAAACTACTAATCCCTAATTTTAAAAGGAAATTGTTGTCCATGTGCGTGAATGCTTTCAAAAGATTGCAATTCCGAATATCTATTATGCAAATGTTTCTGTTTTATAAAGATTTTCTAGATTGCAGCGTTTGTAGAGAAAGTTTTATTTTCTGATCTTCCTTAATCGCAGTTCATAGTTCGACTACGTCTGTGTAACGTCGTTATTAAAAAAAACGGTAAAATTATTTTTGTTTTATTGTATATCATTCTTTAGATGCTTGCAAACGAGACTATTTCTACAATTTTTGAAATCCATTCTTCAGTGTGGATGCTTGACCATCCGGTTGTAGATGTAAGCCTTTTCTGCGTCACATATGCATCCATCCTGAACTTAAGTGTGTAGAAAGAAATAGGATATTCATTTATTGTTAAAGTCGACTTTCTTAATAAAAACGAATTTTCTGAGGCCCTGAAAGAGAAAAAATTCGCCTCTTGAATGAAGCATATGAGAAACTGTTTGAATGTTTATATCATAATTTAAAAATTTTTTCAGTCTTCTATTTAGGATAAATTACTCTTAATCGAATTTAATAATGAATGACAACGTACAATTCAACCGGAATGATGGTGTAATGCAGTTCAATGCCCAAGAATACAATGTGAGTTTAAGAAAGTCTCCTCAGAACACCATTTACATCAGAGGTGTCCACAGGGCCAATTTTATTGCCCTGCCCTGCCCTGGCAGGGCAAAATCATTTTCAAATAATTTGTGTCCTGCCCTGTCCTGTCATTTTGGCACCGTGGCCTTGTCCTGCCCTGCTAATTAAGAAGATTTTTTTTCATATTTAAATTCAAGTTTAAGTAATCTTTTTTATTTGAAAAATAGTTCAGCAAATAGATAAATGATCAGCAAATAATAAATTAGTGC